CAACAGCAACAGCAACAACAACAACGGCGACGACGACAACGACAACGACGACGACGACGACGATGACAACAACTAGAGCAGCAGCAGCAGCAACAACAATCACAATATATGCAGGACTGCTCGCTCGTATCTGCCCGCGTGCCATTCAACACGTCTATCCCAGACCCTCGATATCCGCCCTACGTGTTTTCGATCGTCCCCCCATTTGGGGTATACCTTCCACACCTGCAACGCGTCTCTCGTGCAGCCCCGAAGGCCAGCAGAGAGAGGACGGATGTAAGGAAGGGACAAGGGGGAGGGAGGAGGGAGGGAGGGAGGCAGGAGGAGGGGGGAGGGAGAAGAGGGAGGAGGAGGGGGAGGGAGAAAGGGAGGAGGGGGAGGGAGGGAGGAGGAGGAGGGAGGAGGGGGAGGGAGGGAGGAGGGGGAGGGAGGGAGGGAGGAGGGAGGAGGAGGGGGGGAGGGAGGGAGGGAGGGAGGGGGAAGGAGAAGGGACAAGGGGGAGGGAGGGAGGAGGGGGGCTGGAAGCAAAAAGCAAGTGGCGGAACCAGGGCGGGCAGGTCAGGCGGGCAGACCCCGACGGGCGGGCCGGGGAGGCGAGCCCCGGCGGCCAGGTCGGGGCGGGCTGCCGAAGCGCGAGTCCTGCACGAGTCGCGAGGACGCGGCGAGCCACAGCGCGACCTGCCGAGAAAAGCGAAGGGGGAGCCCAAAGCGAGAGCGCGATTCCCGAGTGTCGAGGGCGCGGCGTTTGAATCACTTGCGAGGGAGTCCCCCGCGGGAGCGCGATTCCTGCATGAATTGTGAGGACTTCCCGCGCGAGAGCGCGAATGTGTAAAGAATGTGTTGTAATTCGGGGGCCAGGGGCCCAGTTGGGTCACCAAGTCCCTCGTGAAAAGCACGGTGCATGCCCCGAAGAAGCACTTTGACTGAAACCTGCAATGGTTAGGAGAGGGGATCAAAACAAAAAAACAACAAACATAATGCGAATTCACCAAAACAACAAAAATAACAACCAAGACAACAACAGCAACAACAACAACAACAACAACAACAACTGCAACAACAACAACAACTACGAAAACGACAACGTCAACGACAGCAACAACAACTTCGGAAACGACAACGTCAACGACAATGACGACAACGACAAACAACGAAAAAAACCGACAACAACGACAACGACAGCCACAACAACAACAACAACAACAACAACAACAACAACAACAACAACAACAACAACAACAACAAAAATAACAACAGAAACAACAACAACAACAACAACAACAACAACAAGAATAACTATGTTAAGACTGTTCGCTCGTATCTGCTCGCGGGCGAGTCAACACGTATATCCCAAGCCCTCGGTACCCTCCCTCTGCGTCTTCGATCCTACTCCCCAGGTGGGGATACATCTGTCTTACTTGCAACGTGTATTTCGTGCAGCCCTAAGGCAAGGGAAAAGAGGACGGATGGAAGGAAGGGACAAGGGGGAGGAGGGAGCACGAGAGAAATTAGCAGGAGTGGGGCTGCAAGGAGAAAACACGTGGCAGGACCACACGGGCTGATCGGGCGGGTAGACCCTAGCGGGCGGGTCGGGGAGGCGAGCCCAGGCGGCCAGGTCGAGCAGGCGGGTTGCTGAAGCGTGAGTCCTGCATGAACCGCGAGGAAGTCTCGAGCTACAGCGCGATCCCCTAATAAATCGTCAGGAAATCCACAGCGAGAGCGCGAGTCCTGAGCGTCGAGGGCGCGACGTCTGAATCCGCCGACCCTGCGTCGGCGCGGGTGAGGGGGTTGTCCGTTCCCGTCGTTCGTCTCCGTCGTCTCCTGTCCCTGCGCCCACCCTTTCCCTGGGCCAGTCGTCTCCTGTCCCTGCGCTCTTCCCTGGGCCCGTCTCCCCTCCTCCCCTTTCCCCCTCTTCCCTGGGCCCATCGCCGCTCCCCCCCCCCCGCTTTTCCAGGGCCTCCCCCTCAAGAGCAACGTTGTCATTGAGTCAATAGGAAGCCCCTTCCCTTTGATCCCTTCCCCGCCGGGGGGGGGGGTCCCGGGGGGGGGTCCCGGGTGGTCCTGGTGGGGGTCCCGCGTCAGATACGACTCCCCCCCTGGGGGTCCCGGGGCCCACACAAAGCCTCAGACGGGCCAGAGCCGAAGCATTCTCCCACGCCCTCTCCTCCCTCCCCCCTCCTCCCTCCATCATTATCTCTCCTCTTTCCTCCGACCCCCTCCAGAACCGAACCGGCCTCCTGGACGCTCGGACACGGGACACCCCAGGACCCAGAATTCCGAGGTCCCCGGGACCCTCCAGGACCCAGCCCCGAGGACCTCCTAGGACCCAGCACCAGGAACCAGCCCCCCAAAAAGTCCAGAACTCCCAGGCCCCAGGCCCTGCTCGCCTCGTCCTGCTCCTATTCATTTCTCCTCCTCCTGCTCCTCCTCCTCCTCCTCCTCCTCCTCCTCCTCCTCCTCCTCCTCCTCCTCCTGTTCCCCTCCTCCTCCTCCTCCTCCTCCTCCTCCTCCTCCTCCTCCTCCTTCTTCTCACCCCTCCTGCTCCCTGACGTCCTCCGCCTCCTGCTCCTCAACGTCCTTGTCCTGCTCGTCGTCCCCGTCTGCAGGGTCGGCGGCACCGGCCGTAAGGCCTTCGCAATAAGTGGCGAGAAAAACCCACGCGAGAGCGCAATTCCTGTATACATTGTCAGGACATCCCGCGCGAGAGCGCGATTTGGGAATACATTGCGAGAACGTATCAGGCGGGAGCCATTGTTGTTGAAATTTGGGGGCCAGGGGCCCAGTTAGGTGGCCCCTCACTTTCTCTTGTAGAAATCACAATGCGAGCCCCGGGAGAGACACTTGGATTGAAACATGCAATGGTTACCCGAGGGGGGATCAACCATACGTATCCTTTTGAAATGGAAACTCAACAACTGAAACAACAATGATAACAACAACGAGAACAACAGCAACAATCAATCAACCAATCAATCAACCAGCCAATCAATCAACCAATGAACCAACAACAATCAATCAAGACTGTTCGCTTTTACACGCTCGCGTGACATTCGACGCGTATATCCCAAACCATCTGCACCCGCCCTCCTCGTCTTCGATCGTACTCCCTTGGTGGTATATCTTCCTTACCTGCCACGTGAATTTAGGGCAGCCCCTCAAACAGGGGAAGAGAGGGCGGGAGGGGGAGGGATAAGGATCGAGCACGAGAGAAATTAGCAGGAGTGGGGCTGCAAGGAGAAAACACGTGGCAGGACCACACGGGCTGAACGGGCGGGTAGACCCTAGCGGGCGGGTCGGGAAGGCGTGCCCAGGCGGCCAGGTCGGGCAGGCGGGTTGCTGAAGCATGAGTCCTGCATGAACCGCGAGAGGTCTCGAGCGATAACGCGATTCCAAAGTAAGCGTGAGGAGAGCCAACGCGAGAGCGTGATTCCCGAGGGTCGAGGGCGCGGCGACGGAACTGCGCGCATGTCCCACGCGAAAGAGCGAGCCCTGCATGAATTGTGGTCAAGTCCAGCGCAAGAGCGCGATTGCTCAATGAATTGTGAAGACGTGTCAGGCGGGAGCCGTTGTTGTTGCTGTAATTCGGGGGCCAATGTGCGCAGATCGGTGACACCCAGCCCTCCCTTATACAAAAAACAGGGTGCGAGCCCCAAGGGGGGCACTTTCATTGAAAAATACAATGGTTACCGGAGGGGAGATCAACAATCATTATCATTATTCAAAAAAAATTAATACACGAGCAACAACAACGACAACGACAACGACGACAACAACACCACCACCGAAACCACCACCACCACCAACAGCAACATCCTCATCATCGTCATCATCATCAACAGCAGCAGCAGGAGCATCATCGTCGTGATTGTCGTCGTCGTCAGCATCATCATGAGCATCAGCACCATCATCATCAGCAGCATCAGCATCATCGTCATTATCAGCATCGTCAGCATCACCTTGATCAGCAGCATAAACATCATCATCATCAGCAGTAGCAGCAACTGTATAAGCATCATCATCGCAACCACCGTGGCCATCACCATCTCCAGCATCATAGTCAACACCAACGCACGCATATGCATTACCCATGCAATCGTGCTCATCAACATCATCATCAGCATCAGCATCGTCATCATCATCAGCATCAGCAAAATCATCATCAGCATCAGCATCACCATCATCAACAACATCATCAGCAGCATCAGCATCGCTGTTCATTACCATCATCATCATGAGCAGCATCAGCGTCGTCATCATTATCAGCAGCCGCATCATCATCATCATCATCATCATCATCATCATCATCGTCATCATCATCATCATCATCAGCATCATCATCATCATCATCATCATCATCATCATCATTATCAGCATCGCCATCATCAGGATAACCATCAGCATCGTAGTTACTCCATCATAATCAGCGTAAGCGTCATCATCATCATCATCATCATCATCATCATGATCATAATCATGATCATCATCATCGTCATCATCATGGTCATCAGCATCAGCATCAGCATCAGCATCATCATCATCACCATCATCACAATCATCAGTATCGTCCGCATTAGCATCAACATCATCGTGGGCAGACATTATCACCAACACCACCACCACCACCATCATTATCATCATCATCACCATCGTCATCATCACCAACACCACCATCATCATCATCATCATCATCATCATCATCATCAGCATCATGATCATGGTCATCGTCATCGTCATCGGCATTAGCATCGGCATCATCAGCAGCATCATCAACATCAGCATCATCATCAGCACCATAATCATCAGCATAATCATCAGCATCATCAATATCATCATCATAGTCAGAATCATGTTCATCATCATCAACAACAGCATCATCATCAGCATCATCATGATCATCATCATCGGTACTACCGCCGTCATCATCGTCGTCGGCATGGCTGTCAGCGTCGCACTCGTCATCGTTGACGTCCGGTCGCTCGCGCGCGCGCGCCGCCCAGATCCTTAGGAGCCTTCTTGCCACGCTTCTCCTTCCCTTCCCCACTTCTGCAAAGAGGAGTAGGAAGGGGAGATGAAAAGGAGGAGGAGGAGGAGGAGGAGGCAAGGGAAGAAGAAGTCAATAAGAAAGGAGGGAGGGAGGCAGGGGTACGCGGGGGGGGAAAGGGAGAATGTAAGTGGGGAAGGAGGAGGGGGAGGAGCAGCAGCAGCAGCAGCAGAGGGAAGAGGGAGGAGAGGGAGGAGGGGGAGGAGGGAAGGGGAGAAGGTGAGGAGCGGGAGTAGGGGAAGGAGGTGGAGAAATAATGAAGAGGAGGGAGAAAGGGACAGGGGCGGGGAGAGGAGAAGGGAAGGGGGAGGCAAGGGAAAGGGGGGATGGCAAGGAAATCTCACCAGCTTTTTACCGCTACGTCCGCCCATGCTGGCGGGGGAGTCGCAAGGAACCTCCTCCTACCCCTCCTCCTCCTTCTCCTCTTCCTCGTCCTTCTCCTCTTCCTCGTCCTCCTTCTCCCTCTCCACCTCATAATCCTCCCTCCTCCCTGGTCCTCCCTCCCCCTCCTCTTCTTCCTCCTCCTCCGCCTCCTCATCCTCCTCCTCCTCCTCATCATCCTCACCCTCCTCCTCCTCCTCCTCCTCCTCTCTCCTCCTCCTCCTCCTCCTCCTCCTCCTCCTCCCTCCTCCCCTCCCCCTCCTCCTCCTCCCCTTCCTCCTCCTCCCCTCCTCCCTTCCTCCTCCTCCTCCTCTTCTCCCTCCTCCTCTCCTCGTCCTCCTCCTCCTCATCTCCTCCTCCTCTTTTCCTCCTCCTCCTCCTCCTCCTCCTCTCCTCCTCCTCCTCCTCCTCCTCCCCCTCCTCGTCCCCTCCTCCTCCTCTCCTCCTCCTCCTCCTCCTCCTCCCTCCTCCTCCTCCTGCTCCTCCTCCTCCTGCTCCTCCCCTCCTCCTCCCCTACCTCCTCCGCCTCCTCTCCTCCTCCTCCTCCTCCCCTCCACCTTCCTCCTCCTCCTCCTCCACCTCCTCCTCCTCCTCCTCCTCCTCCTCCTCCTCCTCCTCCTCCTCACTCCTCCTCCTCCCCCTCCTCCGACTCTTTCACCCCCTCCTCCCTATCCTCCCTCCTCCTCCCCCTCCCCTCCCTCTCCCCCTCCTCCTCCTCCTCCTCCTCCTCTCTCTCCTCCTCCTCCTCCACCTCCTCCTCCTCCCTACTCCTCCTCCTCCTCCTCCGCCTCCTCCTCCTCCTCCTCCCCTCCTCCTCCTCCTCCTCCTCCTCTCCTCATCTCATCTCTCATCATCATCATCATCATCATCATCATCATCACATCAATCATCATCATCATCATCATCATCATCATCATCTCATCATCAGCATCACATCATCCCTCATCCTCATCCTCATCCTCATCATCTCATCATCCTCATCATCATCATCATCATCATCATCATCAGCATCAGCATCAGCATCATCATCATCATCATCATCATCATCATCATCATCATCATCATCATCATCATCATCATCATCATTATCATCATCATAATCAGAATCATAATCACCACCACCACCATCAACATCACCATCAACATCGTCGTCGCCACCATCCTCGTCGCTCATATCAGCAGCAGCAGCAGCAGCAGCATCACAGGCATCGCCACCGCCGTCGCCAGCCTCATCGACAGCCAAAACATTTCATCAGTCTCATCCACATCACCACAACCACAAGCATCAGAGTCGCTATCACCGTCGTCATCATAATCATCATCAGCATCAGCAGCAGCATCTACAACAACAGCTACGGCAGCAGCAGCAACATCACCAACACCAGCATCAGCATCAGCATCATCATCAGCATCAGCATTATCCTCCTCATCATCATCAGCATCATTACCAGCGTCAGCATAAGCATCAGCGTCATCAGCAGCAGCAGCAGTATCATCAGCATCATCATAGTCGTCGTTTTGGGCGTCGTCGTGCCATCCTCCTGATTTTCCCCCTCCTCATGATCCTCGAAATCCTCCTACTATAAACAACCCAGATCCTCATGCTTATCCTCATCCTCGTCCACCTCGTCATCCCCGCGCCGTCCCAACCCCTCGTCCAAACTACTTCAAAGCCCCAAGTACGAGGACGGGAAAGGACAAGAGGGCAGAAGGCAAGCATGCAATCATCAGGGGCATACTCGACTGAAGAGAAGGGCACAAACGACGGCAGACAAGATGCCACGGGAAGCCCTCCACTCCGCCCCCCCCCCCCCCCCCGAAAAAAAAAAATACTGCAGAAAGAAATCCTCAGACATCCCACGATCCAAGCTTTTCGATCCGCGGCCCCACGCTCTCCCGACCCTTCCCCACGGGCAGTCCGGCGTCCCAGATCCAGTGGTTCACGCTGCCCCAGGCCAGAAGGCAAGAGCCACACAGGGCACAAATCCAAGAGGAACGTCAGCAGTGAAAAGACATGTCGTCGGGAATCTGCGTCCTCCAAAAGTCCTCCCTCCCTCCGAGGGTCGGGGGCGGCCAAGAGGGGGGCGTCCAAGAGAGGGGGGCGCAGATCATGGCCAGCGGCACGTGCGCGGCCCAAGGGGGGCCGGGACACGTCATGAGGAGGAGGAGGAGGAGGAGGAGGAGGAGGAGGAGGAGGAGGGGGAGGAGGAGGAGGTGGAGGACGAGGAGGAGGAGGAGGCGGAGGAGGAGGAGGAGGAGGAGGAGGCGGAGGCGCCATGAATCTGGGGAGATATCATAGCCCCCGCCATGATGTCCACCCCCCCCTCGTCGTCATCACCCCCCTTTGGGCCGCCCCCGAGATTCCTAAGCAATGCCACAGGATTCCTTCGGAAGTCCAAAGGGTTCCCTCGGAGATCCATCGAATTCCTCGGGAAATCCATAGGATTCCTCGGGAAACCCATGGGTTTCCTTACGAAATCACTGGGATTCTTTCGGACATCTATAGGAATCCGCTGGAACTGCCTACGAGCCCTTCGGAAACGCAGGAGATTCCATAGGAAGTCCATCGGATTCCTTATGACACCTATAGAATCATCTTTCGGAAATCCATGAAGAATTCATTCGGAAATCAATCGTCCTCCGAAATCCTCCCTCCCTCCGAAGGGGGAGGTCAAGGGCGCGCGCTCGCCCCACGTGGGCGGTCCGGGCCCCCCTGCCCTCCACGGCGGCACCAGCGCACCGAGAGCACATCCGACGGCCGCGCGCGCTCACAGAGGCACACCGGAAAACTCGCAGCAAGGTCAGAGCCGAGGGGGCCCAGGGACACACAAAGAAATACCTGAGCATTCTCTTAGGGTGGAGGGCTCAGGGTGAAATCCATATGGGCTCTTGCACCTCGAAAATCAAGGCGTCTTATGATTCACCTTCTGCAAATTCAAACCTCGAAAATCCATCGAAACGGCATTTCAGTTTTCACCCTTTGCCCTCCACCCGAAGAAAGCAAAGCGCTTGGAATACACACAATTCCCAGGATTCCCATATACTTGTCGACATCTTCGAGAGCTGTTTGTCTTCCCCCCTCACTTCCCATGTGTTCCCCTACGTTTTCTGGGGAATCGACGGGCATTTGTGTCTGTATCTGTTTTCCCCTCCAGAAGATCGGGTCGGGCGAAAGGGGGGGATAGCAAAGGGGGGGGGGGGGGGAATCAGCTCTCGTAGGTGACTTTCCCTGCGCCTCCCGGCGCCGGAGGCGGCTAACGTATCGAGGAATGGGCCCCTCGGTGAGGCCGAATCCAGCTGCACGCAGCAAATTCCGTGACCCCCTCTTTCCCAATCCCCCCCTTTCATCCGGCCCGAGCTCCTCATCCTCCTCCTCCTCCTCCTCCTCCTCCTTCCTCCTCTCTCCCCCTCCTCCCACTCCCCTCCTCCTCCTCCTCCTCCTCCTCCTCCTCCTCCTCCCCCTCCTCCTCCTCCTTCTCCTCCTCCTCCTCCTCCTCCTCCTCCTTGCCCCTGACCCTCTGGGAACCGCGGGCGAGTGCACAGAATGCCCCCGGGGAGCTGTTTGTCTTCCCCCCTCACTTCCCATGTGTTCCCCTACGTCTTCCGGGGAATCGACGAGCACTCGTGCCTGCATCTGTCTTCCCCTCCTGCAGAGAGTGCACCAGAGTGCCCCCAGGTTCGGGCGGTAAAGACGAGTGGCGACGGCCAGGTTCTTCGTCGCCCCTCGGCCTCCAGAGAGGCCGCTCCCCGGCCCCCGGGGCACTGTCAAGACGCGCCTCGGGAGGAAGATCTCTGGTACGGGGGAGGAGGAGGAGGAGGAGGAGGAGGAGGAGGAGGAGGAGGAGGAGGAGGAGGAGGAGGAGGAGGAGGAGGAGGAAAAGGGGAGGGGGAGGGGGGAGGACGAGGAGAGGAGAGGAGGGAGGAGGAGGAGGGGAGGAGGAGGAGGAGGAGGGGGAGGGAGTCGAAGCCCCAGGGGCCGACGGGAGCACAACGAGGTGCAGACGCCGGAGGGCAGCGCGTCGCACCTCGCAGGAGGAGGAGGGGGGAGGAGGAGGAGCCCCGCGATGGCGCGGCGCGTGGTTTTCCTCGCTGTGTTTTCGTGCGGCCCGGGCTCCGACGCGCGCAGGATGCGTCCCCTGCGCGCCAGGGGGAAGAGAGCCGGCGGATGTGGGCAGCCCGACCCACCCCTGGGGGAGTCGCAACAACAGGGCGCCGACCCACGAGGGGGGGGCGCAGCAGGAGCTGGTCTTCACTCCTCCCTCCCTCCCTGCCTCAGTCCCTCCCTCCTCCCTCCTCCCTCCTCCTTCAATCCCTCAATCCCTCAATCGCTCCTCCCTCCTCCCTCCCTCAATCGTCTCAATCCTTCAATCCCTCCTCCTCCCTCCTCCCTCCTCCCTCCCTCCCTCCCTCCCTCAATCCCTCCCTCCTCCCTCAAAGAACTTGTTTGTTCAAGACGCGAGTGGGTCTGCAAGAAGCGGGAGCGGCCGAAGTCCTGTCAAGGTGGGTCCCCAGACCACTGGCCTGAGGCCCAGCCTGGGCATAGCGGGGGGCTCCGGGGCGACTCTTGCGGCGGCCCTTGGGGCCAGAGACGGGCTTCCAGGCGCTGAGAGCTTTGCAAATCCTCCCCTCGTTCCTATCTCTTCCTCCAGGGTGAGGGAGGCAGCGCTGGAGACAAGGAAGGGGGGCCCTGCATTCCCGCGCGGGTGGCCTGGGTCTTCCACTCTTCCTGCCACCACTCGTCGGCCTTGCCGTTGCCGCCGCCGCCCTCGTCGGCCCACTCGTCGTTCTGCGCGGAGGGGGGGGGGACAGCGAGAGGGGGCCTCCTCGTCCTCGTCGTCCTCCTCATCAGCAGCAGCCATAATCATCGCCATAGTCATCGTCGTCGTCATCGTCATCACCATCATGATTACTACCATCGTCACCGTCATCGCCATCGCAACAGTAATCTTAGTTTTAATAGTTACCGAAGGCGCGCCGCTGGATGTCCCCGGGGGGGGGGGAAACCCCCCCTCCTTTCCCCGATCCGTCGACGGGGACCCCCCCCCCTCCCCCCCTTTCCAGATCCGTCGTCGGGGACCCCCCCCCTCCCCCCCTTTCCCGGTTCGTCGTTGGGGATCCCCCCCCCTTTCGAAATGGGGGGGGGTCCGAACCCCCCCCCTCCCCCCCTTTGGCCGCCAAATTCGAACCCCCCCCCCCTCCCCACTTTCGTCACGGCGCCCCCGGTCTCCGGAACCCGACCCCTACCACCCCCAACACTAATCCTCACCCCTACCCTACCCAATAACCCGAATACCAAGCCCAAACCCTAGCCCAAAGCAGCACTCACTACTCATTACCCCAATTCACTACTCGCTACTCACTACTCACTTTTCGCTACTCACTACTCACTATTCAGGACTCATTAATCAATTCCCACGACTCACTACCCACTAACCACTACTCACTACTCCGTACTCCCTACTCACTACTCACTACTCACTACAAACTACTCACTACTCACTACCCACTACGCAATACTCACTCCTCACTAAACACAACTCACTACCCACTACTCAGTATCACACATCACTGCCCACTGACCACTACCCACTACTCACTACTCACCCTTCACTACTCACTACTCACTGCCCACAACTCTCTACTCACTATCCACTCCTCGCTACTCGCTACTCGCTACTCCCTACTCCCTACACAGTACTCACTACTCACTACTCGCTACTCCCTACGCCCTATTCGCTACCAAATACGCACTATTCACTACCCACTACTCACTACTCACTACGCTCCCACTACTCCCTACTCACTACTCACCACTCACTAATCACTACTCGCTACGCCCTACTCGCTGCGCACTACTCCATACACACTACTCACTACTGACTCCTGACTACTCCCTCCTCACTACTCACTACTCACGCCGCCCTACCCGTTATTCACTACTCACTACTCGCTACTCCCTACTCGCTACTCCCTACTCGCTACTCGGTACTCGCTACTAACCACTCACTACTCACTACTCTCAACTCACTGCGCACTACTCTCTACTCACTACTCACTACCCACTCCTCGCTATTCGCAACTGTCTACTCTCTCATCCCTACTCCCTGCTTACTACTCACTATGCACTACCCACTACTCACTACTCACTAATCTCTACGCACCACTCACTACTACCACTACCCATTACCCACTACTCACGACTCGCTACTCACGACTCACTGCGCACTACTCACTATCAAATACCCACTACTCACCAATCGCTACTCAAAACACTCTACCCTCTACTCACTACCCGAGAGGCTCCCTCCCCAGCCCCCTGTTCGGCGCAAACGGGGGGAGGGGACACACCCCTTTCCAGCGCCAAGGGGGGGAGGGGGGGGGTCGAAAATCTCACCCCCCCTTTGAAGGGGGGAGGGGGGGGGTTCTGCGAGCACCCCCCCCCCTTTGTGTATTCAGGGACATCCACTAGCTGGCGCGCTTTCTTACCGACATCATCATCATCATCATCATCATCATCCTCATCATCATCGTCATCATCATCATCATCATCATCATCATCATCATCATCATCATCATCATCATCATGATCATGATCATCATCATCATCATCATCATCATCATGATCATCATCATTATCATCATCATCATCGTCGTCATCATCATCATCATCATCAGCATCAGCATCAGCATTAGCATCATCATCATCATCATCATCATCATCATCATAGGCATCAGCATCAGCGTCATCATCATCATCATCAGCATCATCATCATCAGCATCGTCATCGTCAGCTTCATCATCATTATCATCACCATCATCAGCATCATCATCAGCATCATCACCAAAAATTGTCATCGGTATCACCACCACCATCATAATCATCATCACCACCACCACCATCATCAACATCATCATCAGCAGCAGCATCATGATCATGATCACCATCATCAGAATCATCATCATCATCATCAGCATCGTCAAGCTCATCAAGTTCATCCTCGTCATCAGAATCCTCAGCAGAAGCAAAAAAAACCTGATCATCATCAACATCATCAGCCGCAGAATCGTCACCACCATGATCATCATCATCATCATCATCATCGTCATCATCATCATCATCATCATCATCATCATCATCATCATTATCAGCATAGTCATCAGCATCGTCATCATTACCACCACCATCAGCATCATCGTCAGCATCATCACAATCATCATCACCATCACCATCATCATCAACATCAGCATCAACATCCTCATCATGGTGATCATCATGATCATCATCATCATCATCATCATCATCATCATCATCATCATCATGGTCATCATCATCGTCATCATCAGCAGCAACCTCATCATCATCGTCGTCGTCTGTATCATCATCATCCTCATCATCATCATCGTCATCATCAGTAGCAACGTCCTCATCCTCGTCATCAACGTCGTCGTCATTGTCATCATCATCGCCATCGTCATCATCATCGTCATCATCATCAGCAGTATCATCATGATCATGACCATAATCATCAGCATCAACAGCAGCAGTATCATCATAATCATCATCCGCATCATCATCATCACCACCAACGCCACCACCATCAAAGTCAGCATCAGCATCAGCATCAAACCACATCACAACCATCGTCATCATCCTTAGTAGCATCGTCATCATCAGCAGCAGCAGCACCATCGTCGTCGTCAATAGCAGCAGCAGCAGCACCAGTATCACCGCAATCATCAACGTCAGCATCATCACCATCATCTGCATCATCATCGTCAGCATCATCATAATCGAGAGAGCGTGATCCACCGCCGTTTTACTGTGGAAAATTGCCAACCTTTTCCTCCGGAACCCGGGGGTCGCCCCCCCCCCCCCCCCCTCCCGAAAATCCCCCCCCGAAAATCTCCCCCCCCCCCCCCCCCCCTCCCCCCCCCCCCCTCCCCTAACCCCTCCCCCCCCCCCCCCCCCTCCCGCTCGAAAACCGGGGGGGGGTCACTACCGGTTCGAACCCCCCCCCCCCCCCCCCTTCGGATCCGGAAAACCGGGGGGGGTCACTACTTGAATGCCCGCCCTGTTTACTAAGTAGGAGGGCGGGTTGTAGGTTCTTAGAAGCTTTTATAACGTATGTTATAGACCGTTTATAATGTAGTGATCCATGGTTATATCATACTCAACCTGGTTGTAGTAGGGGCTATCCATTTAGGTGCTCCACAAGCTACTTGCTAATCGTGCCGCCTCTCGTAAACCTACTTAGCGTATTCGGCCTAAGTGCAGCTAACCTGTTTAGCCCTCCCCGAGCTAACCTGTTTAGCCCCCCCCGCTAAACAGGTTACGCAGGCCCCGTAAACAGGTTAGCAACCTCCGAAATCAAGTTCCAGATCAGTGGATTTCAAGTTCCAGGGCCCAGGATTTCAAGTTTGAGATCCAAGGTTTCAAGTTCAGAAGCCACGGTTTTCATATCGAAAGTTGTGAATTTCCAACACAGAACTTCTCGCTTGATGTGCGATTCCGTTGAATTCGATTTTGGGAAGAAGAGGCCTAGGAAGAGAAGTAGGAGGAAGAAGATGAGGAGGACCCTCATACCCACCACCCAAAAGCCCCACCCCCCCCCCCCAAAGTAGCTATAGCCATTTTGGCGCCAGGGCGTCGTGACGCTTGTGTGTGACGTATCACAACTCGCCATACATGGCTTCCTCCGTGACAAAGGCCATGGCCGACGTCGAGAGCAAGGTTCTCGAGTTGCTGAAAACACATGACGATGATGGAGGTTTCAACCAGCTGAGGAGCAAAGCTGATGTTTTGATTTCTCTTCTGCTGGACAACAACCTGGCACGCAAAGAGAGAATCGATAATAAGTACTTGCGCCCGCACAAGCACAACCGTTTCAAGACGGGCCTTGACCCACTGGACGTACATGCCCTACTTCACCGTGTGGTCGCCCAAGGATGGAGCTGGTCCAAAGTCGGCGTGGCAGTGTGCTTCGAAGTGGATCCGTCCGACGATAGCATTTTCAAGTTCAACGAGACGCTCTACCTCTGCAGCGACAACATGTTGGCGCCCGTCGACCAGGCTGACGTGAGGTTCGCGACGGTCTCGAGCAGCCACACGGTGGCCATGCTGAACGCCGTGAACGCAAAGGTCTCGACGTACTTGACCGAGCTTTCGCAGGACGGGAGGCTCTCGCCTGAGAAGGTGCGGATGCATCCTTTCAAATCGAGTGCTATGTCTTTTTCCCATTGCCGCTGCCAGAGGCGGTGGATGGGAAAACGTCGTGCCTCGGATTGCGCGGGGTGTCCTCAAAGGTCACGGCCGCGAACCCTGCGATGGCCGATCCCCTCAAGAACGGACTGGAATGGATCGTCATCCGCGGTTCAGTGGACAAGCAATGGCCAACTTTAGCCGACTGGCTTCAAGAAGCCTTGAACAGTGGACATGGCACTGAGCGTCTGCAGACAAAGGTGCAAACGATGCTCGAAGTGCACCAGAAAGCGATGAGGAACTTCCGAGTATCTGGCGAATACGGTTGGGATATCATAGCTAAGACCATCGAGAATGACAGGCCGCACATGGCTGGCCACGTCATGCCCATCTGCGCGTTCGTGGCCAACTGGAGCGGTGGTGCGTCTGGCAACTACTTGTCGGAGTTGGATGCGTGGGCCAAAACCCTGAAGGTGAGGAGGGATGTGTCTGGGACGATCTACAAACTACTTGCAGACCTGCGTTTCGTGCAAGGTCCCGAGATCGTGTTCGCGATGCTGAAGGCTTGCTTCGTTTCTCCCGAGTC